TTCCGTAGTTATAAAATACACAGAGACCAGACGTTTACCAGACCAGACCAGTTCAGACCAGACTAGACCAGACCAGATCAGACCAGACCAGATCAGAACAGACCAGACCAGCAAATTTCAGTCCAAAAGAAAACATCCTAAACCAAACGACAGAAAATAGCAATTGAAAGTTTCAAAAATACAGTGTCCAAACACAATCTAAATTCTGAAAAATCCACAATATGCACCAAATTAAATCTACAACATAAAATTCCACAAAGTTTCAAGCTCCAACTTAACACATGAGCAATATTCCTCAATCCTCATTGAATCTGCAAAGAAAAACAAACAAACAATAAGAAACTAAAGTATAAACAAAAAGAACTATATGAAAACAAAAAGGATGTTTTCTTTTGGACTGTTTTCAGTCCCAGACCAGACCAGACTTAAACAGGCCAGACCAGACCAGACCAGACTTAAACAGACCAGACCAAACCAGACCCGACTTTCATAGTTATAAAATACACAGAGACCAGACGTTTACCAGACCAGACCAGACCAGTTCAGACCAGACCAGCAAATTTCAGTCCAAAAGAAAACATCCTAACTATCAATACTCAGTAGGCTTCATGTAAGAATTATACGAAAACCATCAATTTACTAAATACGAGTATACTAACTATCAATAAGAAATGGTAAAGAATAAAAACTAACTATCTAGTAGTGAAGTAAATACCCACTTGGACTAAATACTATCAAATGAAAAACATTAATAAACCTTAATAGCACATAATTCATTGACTTGAGGAAGCTGGAGGCCTGGAGTAAAAAAATGCAAGAGAAAGAGAATTTTCACATATATGGGCATTTCATCGAACAAGTCTGCTACAAAAGAAAAACTCACTTATACATCACTTGGCTCAAAAGGGATTAAAAAACATCGACCTCCCTAGGTGGAATTTGAAACATCTTTACTAAAGTCTTTGAATGGTTACAGGAGAAACTCTCCTAGTCTACCCTTGAGCCACCTCAGCTTTATCCTCTCTAGGAAGAGTTATGCTTCTATACCTTGCGGGTAGAGAGCCTCTTATCTTTACAACAAAGCTTCTCAGAACACACCTACCAACCCAAGGATGCTATTAATGAGCAAGTCCTCAAAAACCCATTACAAAGTGAAGAAAGGAAAAAAGAAACTATATCTAGAACTTAATATGAGCTGTTCCAGGTGCTTTGAACTTCAATGATTCTTCAGTGTGTAAGTCTTCCTATTTTCTGTCTTGGTCAAGCACACCTTCTTCTTCCTTTCAATTATCTTGATATATATAGGCTGCTCAAAATAGATCCGTTGAGGCTTTCCTTCCTTGGATGATCCAGTTATCTTCGTGTGAGACATGCCTTGTAAAAGTCTTTCCTTTTGCAAAGATTCGCAATTCTTTTCATATGGTGCAACAGACTTATATAGATCATACTTACACAATTATAGAAAAGATATTTAAGCACATAAGGAGTAAATCATGCAATCACGCACTTAACATATATAAGCATACACTGATCCTTTCTTAAATTACCACGCTTATATATGGGTCATAGTTCAAAATAGATGATTGTGCAATACCTACGTATGGAGAGTAAGTATGTCATAGTAGAACAAATCATGCAATCACAGATTTCAACTTAGGTATCCTCCAAGTAATCAATGCAACCATATACTTAACATAACCATGCAATGAGCCTTTCCTAAAATATTTAAGCCATATTGATCGAACCATAACCAATCATGCATGGAAAGTTTATGAAAAGAATCCTTTCTTAAAATACAAATCCTATAGATTGACCCAATAAAAAACCAAGAAGTCATACAAATGAGTCATACAGCCGCACATTCAAAAAAACGGACTAAACACTAATAAAGAGTGTATGTTGATCACATAATGTCCGTTGGAACCAGGGACAATTTGTCCTTAGTTCAACCTGCAGGGTTAGTAAGGAAGTCATCAACAAAACATTATACTCAACAAATTCCCACATCTTGTTGATGACAAACATTAGGAGCCATATGGCTCCTAAATTTTTATATGCATATAAAAATTTCCTGGCAGATTAGTAGACAAAACATAGCAGTTTGTACTTTGTAGGACTAGCATCAAAACATAGAGAAGACACCTGATTTCCCCCCTTTTGTCATCAAACAAAAGGAAACATGAAGAATTAAAACAGTGCCTAGAAGTAAATGTGAGTTACTGATGCACACTAGTTAGTAATGCATAAATATAAATTTATGTCTTTATCTTTGATTTGTGTGGATTGTTTACCTTTATTATTTAGTTTGTAAACATTTGTGTGGTTTTATTTATAATTATATTTTAGCTTTCATGTGTAAGTCGTAAAGTAATGGGGGATTTGTGGTATTGGAAAAGAGGACTTTGAAGTGAAGAAAACTGCCCAGGTGACCTACCCGGTCGGGTATACTACTTACCCGGTCGGGTATACTACTAACCCGGTCGGGTAGGAAGTGAAAACGAAAGCTACCAGGAAATTAGGACTTTACCGGGTCGGGTAAGGTGTTTTACCCAGTCGGGTATGAAGTGACCCGGACCAACGAACGTGCTGGAACACAAGAACGTGGGAGATCGATTTGACTTTGACTGATACCCGGTCGGGTATGGTACTTTACCCAGTCGGGAATCCGGCCAAAGGTGTTGAAAACACCTATAAATAGCACACTGTTCCTTCACTTTTCCAAATCAATGTCAGTTGATGCCTATTTTACTGCCCTTATGGGCTTATATGATGAATTAAATCGGCTAAAGCCTCCTCATGTTTGCACGTGCGGGAGTTGTACGTGTAATGTGGCAGAGAAGTATGCGGCCGACAGGGATGAAGAGCAGCTTCATCAATTCTTGATAGGGATTGATGACGAGATTTATGCTACTGTTCGTTCGAATCTTCTGTCTCAAACGCCACTACCAGACATTACTCGAGCCCATCAAGCGTTTCTTCAAGAAGAAAGATCACGGGCAATTGCTCGAAGTAAGAACAACTCGATTGAGGTTCAGGCGTTTGCCTTGAAGGCAGATCGTAGCAAGGGAAAATTTGATAAAGCAGAGAAGGTCAAGCTCACCTGTACACATTGCAGTCAGAAGGGACACGACATGAGCACATGCTTCAAGATTTATGGCTATTCGGACTGGTGGGAGGAACGCAACCGGAGTAAGACTGTGACAATGGGACGAAGCCAGGCACCAGGAGGTAGTCAGCCCACTGCTCTAGCCTGCGGACGTGCTGCCGGTGGAGTACGTGCACACACAGTCACTGCATTGGAGTCTCCAGTGATGGTGGCACCAGAGGATTCTCGAGAAAACCATAGTGAGTACAACCTGCTGCACTCTTTGACAAAGGAACAGGTTCAGACACATGCATCTGATTAATGCTGAAACACGTTCCACTGACCGCATGTCAGGTAAGAAATATAACCTTGATTGGATAATAGATACCGGGGCATCCCGACATGTAACAGGTGATTTGAAGCGACTTACTAATGTGATTCGGATTCGTGATTGTGTGGTGGGTTTGCCCGATGGACGTTCGGTTGTTGCTACATTGGAGGGACGAGTGTCTCTCTCCAATAATCTTGCTCTTAATCGTGTTCTTTACGTCCCAAAATTGAACCGCCATCTTATTTCCGTCTCTCAATTGACTGATCAATCAACATGTATTGTTACTTTCACTAATTCTCTGTGTGCTATACAGGACCTACCCTCGGGGAACCTGATTGGAGCCGGTGAGAGACGGGATGGGTTGTTTTATCTTCGATGTGTTCCTGCTTTACATGCTGTGAGAGTGCCTGCTTTGACGGATTTTGAGCTTTGGCATCGTCGATTGGGTCACCCGTCAGACCGGGTTCTTAAACTTTTGCCTGCAATTAGCTCTAGTAATTTTAAAAAATCCCTTAATAAAGCTTGTGTAGTCTGTCCGCAAGCAAAACAAGTTCGTGACTCTTTTCCCATTAGTGATAATAAAGCAACTCATATTTCGGATTTAATTCATTGTGATTTATGGGGTCCCTACAAGACTCCGTCTACCTGTGATGCTATTTATTTCTTGACTATTGTGGATGATCATTCTAGAGCTGTCTGGGTTTATCTATTGCGTGATAAGAAGGAGGTGCATAAATATTTCCTATCATTTTTTTCTATGATTAAAACGCAATTTGCTGCCACTGTGAAGATTGTTCGCAGTGATAATGGGACTGAATTTAAATGTATGCTGCCTTACTTCAATGATCGTGGTATTTTATTTCAAAGTTCATGTGTTGAGACACCACAGCAAAATTGCCTTAATGTTTCAGGCTGATATACCCATTTATCTTTGGGGTGAATGTGTGTTGTCTGCGGTTTATTTAATTAACCGTACTCCATCTGGTGTGTTAGGCGGCAAAACACCGTATGAGGCTCTCACTGGACGTGTTCCTGACTTTGAGCATATACGCATATTCGGGTGCTTGTGTTTTGCTCATAACAAGAAATCCAAGGGTGACAAATTTCTCCCACGGAGTAAATGGTGTGCGTTCGTTGGCTATCCTCACGGACAGAAAGGGTGGAAAGTTTACGACATGGAAACCGGTGACATTTTTGTCTCTCGTGATGTAAAGTTCCACGAGCATGAATTTCTGTTCTCTGTTGTTCCTACCGAGAACCCCCCCCCCCCAATAATGAACAAAATGCTCCTCCAGTAATCCTGGATGATGAAGTGAGTCTGGCAGGACAGGTTGGCACGTCGGCTTCCATGCATACTTCTGATGCGGATTTAGAAAATCAGCCTCCTACACCTCCTGCAGCTACCAACGGGCCCAGATCATCCACTCATTCCACGGGTCCCCCCCCAGAGTTCAATATCGGGTCTGCACCTCCTATTCAGGATCCTGTTCTTGGCCGAGGGCAGAGGGCAAATCGTGCTTCAGTACTACTTCGCGATTGTGTTACACATATTCGGGAAATAAAACACCCATCCCCGTCTCCTCCGTCTTCATCAGGCAACTCAGGTATGTCTTATTCTATAACACCTTATGTGAACTGTGATAAATTTTCTCCTCGTCATCAGGAGTTTCTTGGAGCATTACTTGCAGGTTTGGAACCACGTTCTTTTAAAGAAGCCATGACCGACGCAGGATGGCGGGCGGCCATGCAAACTGAAATCCGTGCCCTTGAAAATAATCAGACATGGGTTTTGGAATCTTTACCTGCAGGTAAAAAGGCCCGAGGGTGCAAATGGGTCTATAAAATTAAACATCGTTCCGATGGGACGATTGAGCGCCTCAAGGCGCGATTGGTTGTCTTTGGCAACCATCAGGAGGAGGGCATTGACTACACTGAGACATTTGCTTCCGTAGCTAAAATGGTTACGGTCAGGACATTTCTAGCCGTTGCAGCAGCTAAAAATTGGGAATTGCATCAAATGGATGTTCATAATGCGTTTCTTCATGGTGATATGAACGAGGAGGTATACATGAAGCCTCCCCCCGGATTCTATCCCACTCAGCCCGGGGTAGTATGTCGGCTGAAAAAATCTCTATATGGGCTACAACAGGCTCCCAGGTTTGCTAAGCTAGCTGCCTCTCTACGTGACTATGGATTTTTCCAGTCTTATTCAGATTATTCGTTATTTATTTTTCGGCGTGGTGACACCTGCTTAAATATTCTCATTTATGTGGATGATCTGATTATTGGTGGAAATAATTCTAAAATCCTTCATGATTTTAAACAATATCTGAGCTCATGCTTTCTCATGAAGGACTTGGGTGTGCTTAAATATTTTCTTGGCATCGAGGTGGCACGTAATTTTGAGGGCATTTATTTATGTCAGCGCAAATATGCACTGGACATCATCTCTGAAACTGGCTTACTCGGTGCCAAACCCGCTGGCTTTCCAATAGAGCAAAATCATACACTAGCTTTGGCTACGGGGCCAATCCTTATTGCACCAGAGTCTTATAGGCGCCTTGTTGGTCGTCTAATTTATCTCTCTTTTACACGCCTGGATTTGGCATATGCAGTTCATATTCTTTCTCAGTTCATGCAAGCACCTTGTCAGCAACACTGGGATACCGCACTTCGGGTTGTTCGTTACTTAAAGGGAACCCCGGGACAGGGAATACTTCTGAGTTCTGCTTGTGATCTGGCCTTAACAGGATGGTGTGACTCTGACTGGGCTAGTTGTCCACTCAGTCGCCGGTCTCTCACTGGGTGGGTAGTGTTCCTTGGTAATTCTCCTATCTCTTGGAAAACCAAGAAACAACACATTGTGTCTCGTTCCTCTGCTGAGGCCGAGTATCGTTCCATGGCGGCTCTTACGGCAGAATTGAAATGGCTTAAAGGTCTACTCCTTAGCCTTGGTATCACACATCCTCAGGCCATGTCCTTGTACTGCGATAGCAAATCCGCTCTTCACATAGCCTAGAATCCTGTGTTTCCGTACGAAACACATTGAGGTAGATTGCCATTGTGTTCGTGATGCGGTTCAGGAAGGACTTATTACTACACATCATGTCTCGACTACTGATCAACTAGCTGATATTTTCACCAAAGCTCTGGGAAAACGACAGTTTATGTTTCTTCTTAGCAAGTTGGGCATTTATAACCCGCATGCTCCAACTTGAGGGGGGGTGTTGGGCGTTCGGGCTTTAGGCCGGCCTTAGGCCTTACATGAATTTGTTCTGTACTTAGTTTATATTTTGGGCTGCGGCCACTTCATCAGACTAGGGCTTTGTATCTAATGTATCTTGTATAAATATTGCTCAATACGTATGAATGAGAACAAGGGGGGGAAAAGATTTATTCCAAAATAGCCAAAACATATTAGCTAAGCTTTTTGTTTCTTAGTAAGGACATTTACTAATGAATATGCTATGGTTCTACTACAATGATTTAATTTGTTTAGGCTCCACAACAATGACTTAGAAGTTTCAACTTAATTTGTTTTGATTTTTCTTGTTTTGTTGGCTCACTTTTTTCTTTTCCCTTCATCTGTGCATTTTGCAATTCGATCTGGGAATTTACATTAACAAGAAACATGAATAAACATTAAGAAACAAAACACACAAAATTAGCACACAAAAAAAAGAAAAAATAAGAAACACAAAGCTTCTCTCCCATTCATTATCTTGTTTCTCTCCCAGTCATGATGTTTTTACTTGGACTGTAATTTGCTGGTCTGGTCTGGTCTGGTCTGGTCTGGTCTGGGGCAAATTACAGTCTAAGTAAAAACATCCTCATTTGTGATTTCCTAACTTCCTAACATAGTCTTAGACTAATATGTTTAGGAAAACATCAGCTATGCATGGAGCGCCTTGAACAATGAATGTTGATTTGGAGTCAGCACTATTTGGGTTAGACTTCTTACCTTGCACTTGCTTCATGTTTCTAGGTAATGAAGCACCTCTTTACTTAAAAGGAACCTTTTTCCCGTGACTGGTTCAATATAATATACTACTGCAGAAGCAAGAACAATTGAATAAGGGTGTGAATTTAAAGTGCAAATGCTTCTATCTTTTCAGATTTAGCTTTTGGATATTTTGGAGATTTCATCTCTTGTGACCGGGCAACTCAATACAATTCAACGGGGAGCTAAACGCTTTTACTTTAGGTTTTGCAAGGCCTTTGGGATTGTTTAATTATTAGCGTATTTGTTTCTTTCATCTTCATTTGTACTCTTCTTAATAAATTTAATAAATTTTTTCACTTAAAATAAGTGCAAACGGTTCATCTCTCTCACAAGACATCAACCTATAAATGCATTATGCTCCTTATTGTGAGAATAATGAGAAAAGGTACTTCAATAAGAGTCATGACAAATATATTTATAATAGAAGATTTGTCAAAATACAAAGTATTCTTAAATATATATTAGGAAGATTCCTAAATATATTAGGGCTATTACTTATGACACAATTAAATGTTAATATTCTGGTATCTTTTTCAAAGAAAAGATGTCACTGTGTCCTAATAAGGGGACGAGGCGTATCGAAATGACTTATTTCTCATTAGAAATCCTTATAGTTTGATTGGTTTGGTAAAGAGAAGTATTGACTCCTTTGCGGATGGTAAAAACTGAGCATGTTAATTCCAAAGGAAACAAAAAACTGCATGAGGTGAAACACATTTTGAATTCCACAAGTCAAATTTTAGAAAGAAAAAAAAAACAATTGCTCCAACTTCTTAATCCACAAATCTCTACCACAAAGTTAGGAGAAATTTGATCAATTCTTGTATGCAAATTTTACAATAATAATTGATATGGATGCATATAACAAAATCCATAATAAATGCCAAAAAAGTAAATGAATAATGTTCACCTCCAAATTTAATTATGATCATTCATATGACACCAATATTACATATATGAATTTCAAAACGAAAATGAAGTTTCAATTGTTGGAGAGTTCTTTATCTAAAAATTTTCGAAATAGATTTAAGTGTTGAAATTAAGATCTCATCATTCAAGATTTTGTACAGCTGTCAATTATTATTGTAATGTATTAGGAGTAGTTCCTTCTTAATATGGTACTCAATATTATGTGTTTTTCTAGTATTTGATTGTTAGTCTTCCAATTTAATAACATGTGTTTCAATTGATTCATCTTAATAAGTTAATAATATATAGATAGAAAGTAATGGAATATTATGTGTTTTATTGAAATTTATTTCAAATTGAACTCAAGTGTGCATTTTTAATACTTACAAAAAAAACTAATTCACATTTTTTATGTTTTTTTACATCGGAATGTTTGAACTTGTAAAATCATAATTATTACTAGAAATAAAATTGTGACATAAATGATGTGAAATAAAAAAAAAGAATTATGCATTCAATTAAAATAAAATGTGTTCACTGAATATATTGACGGTGATGAGTTTGTATGGAAAAACTGAATTGGAATTGAGTGAGTGAGTACGTATAAATTGATGGGTCACGGTTGGCCTTAAGCTATTATGTTGGGCTCCTTACAACTCCGAGTGGACCGGTTTGTTCCCATTCATTTTGGTGTTGAATTGGAGTTCTGATCTGATATGTGAAAAGTTGCGGATTAATGAGTTATATAGCCAACGCACGTACTTAATTAGCAGTGTTGTGTAACTATCCGGTATCTAGTGAAAATGACCAACCAACCATTTCAAATCTTGAGGTTGTGATAATCAATTATTCATCAACAGTGGTTTATTTATGGTTTCAGATCCATAGCTGAATGCAAATGCTACGTTGGATTGAATGTCGTCTCTCTCATTCAATAATGGTCCATTATTTTCAGTTAGTTGTAATATTTGTTTCATAGTTTAATTGTAAACGGTGACCCTCAAACCACTGCACCTACCAATTGATCACGATAAACTCATCAAATTTTTTTGTCACGATAATGATATGCTTGCGTTTGGAAATGTTTGTTATCTGATCCAATTAAGTAAAAGTTGCTAGTTTTAAGTTTGCCAGAGGCTACGAATCCTCATTTTAATAGAGAGAAAATTGCCCCCAATGGCATGGTTCAGTACGTTTTCCCTCTGAGGTATAATGCTTCATCTTGATGCAACTCTAATATAATGGGATTTGCTTAACATACACCGACCGCATTCTAAATCAAATATATAGATCAAAATGTGATTAAAGTAACATTTGAATACAATTAGGGAAATTGTCCTAAATAGGAGTAATCAATTTTAAGAATTCCAAAATAGGACTACAACTATTGTCATGATTGAAAAAGATCGTTATTAATTATAATAAATGTTGTCATGTTGAATGAGTAACACAAGTATTTGTCCGTCATGACTACAAGATAGTAGTACATACTGTCATCTTATTCCTATTTCGAAAAGAAAAATATAACAGTCTTATTTTGGAATATTGAACCTTATTTAGTCCTATTTAAGAATCTCTCGTATAATTATAATCCCTAAAAGTTAATAAGTCACATTTTATCCACAATTTTATATCGGTCATATTAATGATGTACGTGGCTTTAGGTATGATATTAGGTATTACGTAGTATTTGTTTAGAAAAACGTTTCTCATTTTATGATGAGGTTTGGTAGTTGTCACTTGTGATTTAATAATTAGCAGGATTGATTTCAGAATTATGAATAAAGTATTTTACCATGAGATTAAAATGCCAATTAAGTGCAGGTACTGTGTAGATTAAAATGCCAATTAAGTGCAGGTACTGTGTGTAGATAACATAATGGATAGCTACATAAGAATCGTTTTGTTTTTTACGTTAATACTCCCATTCTAAAACATCATTTCTAGCTAGTTTCAAACGAACCACAAAAGAAAAAGGGAAGTGATCCCTTGCTAATATATGTATCACAGCTAGAACAATTATCCCCAGCCTTTAATTAATTGCGTTCCATATATATTTAATGAGTTAGCTAGCTCTGATAATGAATTCAAATCACAGAACAATAATCTATCCCGATTGATCAAACGGTGCCTGCGGAACTTTGAACCTCATCTTGAGCTTCCTGTGCGGCGGCAGAGGAGGACAGAGTAGGACTGGTGACGGAGCAACTGGAAGAACAAAAAGATAAAGGAGAGGTAAAAGAATGGGTTGCAGTGCAGGATTGCGAGAAACCATTTCCATCCCCTGAAGAAGAAGAAGAAGCCATAGAAAGGGAAACCAACAAATCCACAAAGGCTCCCACAATGAATCCATGGTTT